TCCTGATTCGTCAGATTTATAGTCAAAGACCCATCTCATTGGTATGAGCTGGTGGCGTGGGCAATCTGATTGGTTAAGATCTTTGCAATTCGATTGGTGTGTGTATCTGACGAGATCTTTGTTAATAGGTTCGAACGCGTGTATATCCAGAAGCTTATTGAATTCGATTAGCATAGCTTGTCGGAATTAGCTTTCAAAAGGATGGCTGGTCAATTAGTGGTAACCAGATGGTGGTGGTGGAATCGTTGATATTAAGACCTTTGGTTAATGAGATTGGTCTGTTAAGAAAGCTTAGAAATAGGTTATGAGGGATAAGTAAGGGCGTTTTCTCTCACTTTCGTCGTCGGTTGAATCGGAATCTGATCGTGGGCGTTTAGTTGGTATATTGAGAGGTTCATATCTAGAAGGGTCGAAGTTTGTATTGTTAATTAAGACGAAAGGGACTATATCTTCTGGTTCTGATTCGCTAGATCTTATCGATTCGTCCGATTTCGGTTTAAGCGGCGGTGTGATTGGTTAATCTCCAAGGATTTCGTCTGTTGGTATAGGTATGGTATGATCGAAAGTAGTACTACTATCACCCCCGAGATCTTGCTGCACCGGGTGGTTGAATAGGATATCTATATCCTCAAGGATTTGATTGATCTCTTCGTCGTTAAGAGTATCAATTTGTTGAGATAGATTGGTTTCCTCATAGATTTGGATGCGTTAATTAGGTAGCGAAGGATTATAGGGTTCTTCCTCGTTGAATTGGACGTCTCGTGCACGAATTACACGTCGTTTGGTAGGTATCTAGATGCGCCAGATGTTATAGGCTTCATAACCTACTAGATAGCCGATAGCAGCACGTGGTGCTAGCTTAGCTAGTCTAGGTAGCTTAGTAATGCGTACATAAGCTTTATATCCAAAGATTCGAATATGTGAGAGATCTAGCTTTGCCTGTAGCTAATGTGGTGCGTTTTCACCGAGGTAGGTAGCAAGCGCTTCGTGTGGGGATTGCCAGTTTAGTGTGCGGTGAGGTAGGCGGTTTTGTATATAGACGGCAGTTCTAGCTGCTTCGTGCCAGAGATAGCTTGGTAGGTTTGAATCGATAATCATCTGCCTAGCCATCTTTGAAATCAATGCACCATATCGCTTAGCGTAGCCGTTTTGGTTAGGTTGGTAGGGCGGTGTAGTTTCTAGATAGATACCACGTGATTGTGCTTCTTGGTCGAAGAATTCAGATAGAGATCTCTCGTCATCTAAATGGATGGTAAGGACGCGTAGGTTGAATTGGTGTTGTACGAAATCGATCTGGTCGCAGAGAGATTGTGTTGAATCTGCCTTAGTAGATAGATCTTCCGCTAGTTAGTATTTAGTGACGGGGTCAACAGAGTGAGACAGATAGATTGTTTTGCTAAGTGATAGTTCAAAGTGTATGAGATCCTAATGCAGAGATTCGAAAGGGCGATTATACTGCATAGGTTATCGAGAGATTTGACGATGCGAATTAGCCAGTTTGCATATCTCGCAGTGGTTGATAGGCGAAGATATATCTTTAATGGTGATGCCTAATGAGTGCTCTGGTAGATGAGATAGGACGTCCTTGCTAACGTGTCCTAGTCGTCTATGCCATAGGTCGATTGTCCTATCTAGCTGCTTCTTGGTGTGTAAAGAAGATAGGGCAACCTTGCTGAATTGCTCAGTGATAGGTGTAACTTGATCGTGTGAGACAGAAGTAAGAGATAAGTGAGAGGTCGGTGAAATATGAGCGTGGTTAGCAGTAGGTCGGTCAGTGGTTGAATTGTCCCATCGAATTTGGTAGATGCCTGATTTCGCGTTGAGCTTGCAGATAGGTCTTCCGTCCTTCTCTTCTAGTAGGCAATCCTTGCCATTTAGATAGATGCCTACGCTAGCAGCTCTTTCTGCAGAGATTAGGTTGATGTGGAATCCAGGATAATAGGCAACTTGTTTCAAAGGGAAAGTGGTTCCATCAAGAGATTCTGATGGTTTAACAGACAGTTCGCCATAACTAAGGATAGTAGTTTCGGTGTTTCCAACCATGACAGAGGACATAACGGGCCTATAGTTTGATAGTAGGTCCCTATTATTCGTGACATGAATTGATGCTCCGGTATTATAGCACCAGGTATCGTTCTTCTTGGTAGGAATCCTGATTGTGCTCATCGTAACACTATCTTCCTCTCGAAAGAGAGTCTCGACCTGTTGTTTTGGTATATAGGTAGAGAAAGCGTCTCTAGCGGTTGAATTAGCTAAATTAGCTAAACTAGTCGAATTAGTCGAATTGGTCGAATTAGGCGAACTAGTTAAATTAGCCGGTTGGTAACGTCGAATTGCACGTTGATAGGCTATCTTGAATCCTCTAGATTCATCGCATCGCTTTTCAAATCGCTCTTGGACCTCTGGGTCAGGTTGCCACCCCCTAGGTCTTGCCTTAGGATTCATATAGCGACACGTCTCAAAATCGTGGTTACCAGAGTTAGGTATACCCCCACAAGGGCACTTCCTTCTTCTAGTTGATTGTGTAGGTCCTTCTTCGTCTGATTCGTCAGGTTGACGTCCTTAGTAGGTTGTATAGGCGATAGGTCGTCTTCTACCACTGCTAATTAGTGTGGTAGGTTATCGGTACTAGTCGACGAATTAATTAACCAGTTCGGTCAGGGTAGGTTTCTTTAGACCCTGTAGGATCGTATTATACCAGAAGGTATAGAATCCTTAGTCGCTAGGTTGAATTGTCTCTAGGAAATCGTATACTAGAGATAGATGGTCTTGGAAGTAGGCAATTGCTACTTTCTCGCCTTCCGATTGGCTAATTAGCCATTTCTGACCCTATATAGGTAGTTGAGACAATTTGGTTGGTGGAGCTTATCGTTTTAGCTTATCCTAATCGCGTAGGATTTGACGATTCTTCGATTGGTCGGATAGGGCAAAGGTAGCACGTAGTTTCACTATAGCTTCGTGTGCTAATAGGCCATTAACGATTTGACGTCCTTCTAGTATAAGCGAGGATCGGATGCCTTGCTTAAGAGATTCGATAGATCGAAGATATCGAAGGTAGTCTGATCTTAACGATTCGTATTTACTTAGCAGTATCTTATAGATAGCCAATTAGTCAGACGTAAGGTCGATGAGCCTGAGTAGCTGTTTAGGAAGATTAGATATATATGTGTTGGTCGGGTTTCTGATCACATCAGAGATTTGTGGTTTAACTAGTTCCTGAGGCGGCGTAATCGGTGTGGATTGGTCCGGATCGGTATATTTCCACACATTATTAGCTAGTGCGTGGTCTTTGACCGCAGTGATCCATGGAACCCAGTATACGTGAGATTTTAGTGGGTAGTGAAGCCAGGTAGCTTGTAGAGTAGTTGAATCCATCGCTTCTGTGTGAGAAGTAAAGCGAGAGTGAGAGTAAAGTAAGAGAAGATTGAATTGAATTAGTTAAGTAGTTAGAGCAGAGGCGTCGGGCTCATAACTGTCGGACTCTAGGCGGTGACCATAAAGTCGTGATTATACACATAAGACGATAGTATATATAAGGATTAGTAAATACTCAATGTAGTATCTGAATACACGGTTATAAGTCTATCGGTCGTGCGTACTAACAGAAGTACCACGATTGTGGAAGAGTACCACCGATCTAGAAGAGAGATCAAAAGGGATAATAAACTTGATTCAATTTAACTAAGTAACATAGCAGTATTTATATCACAAGAAACATAGCAAAAGGTCACATGATAAATCAACAGAATCAGAGTGTTGAGAGTCTCTTGCTTAGGTAGGCAATTATATACGAGATCGTTGAGGATCAATCTGTTAGATCTTTATAGAAGAAGATCTATATGTAGAGAGGGGTTATATGAGTGGGTCCTTCGTCATGTGACCCCACAACATCCACATGTTGACAAGACCTTAATTCCTAGGTATATTAGATTATTAGCATATTGGAAGCGGAAGGTAGACGAAAAGCGACCGAAGTATTACCGGCACGCTATATAACCCCTGATAGCTATATAGCACTAGGAATCGACGAGCCCTCCTGGGTAGGCGTAAACGCTACTGTAATAGATAGCATAGACCTAGGCTATGTAGAATAAAGAACGGGAGTAGACATTGACATCTCCCATGGGACTAGTAAAAATTTAGTCCCACTCCCACGGGACCATGACCTTAGTCCCATCAATCCCACGGGACAAAGTCTCTTAGTTCGCCCATGGGAGTCCCGTGGGACTCCCATGAGTCCCGCCAAGCTCATATTTTTGCATAATTTTCCCGAATAGGATGGATAAAATGATGATTCATCCGAATTTTCACTGTTATTAAACAGTGTTTTGGTATACTACTTTAACATCTCCCTAAACTCAGCTATATTCCTAGGAAATTTTATGAAATCTAATTGTATATAGCTAATTAGGTATTAGAAATTAAAGATTCCTATCTTTTTTAAAATAATTCAATCACTGGATGGTTATTTTAGAAGATATAGCGGTAGATGAAGTATATGGAGTAGGAAATATATATTCTATGCAAGTACCGCAGCACCATCCCTAACGAGATCTCTTTGTTTAATACGAATGCTGCTCTATTTAAAAAAAGCTAGCTAATTAGAAGTGTTTATAGTTATATACGCTATCTAATCTCCATCTTATATTCAAAACTAGTAGGTATGTAATATAAGAGGGTGCAGAAATAGCAGTTTGAAATATAGGTGAAATATTTTTTATCTAATTTGAAAGTCGGGGGGCGTGGTCTGACCGAAAATCGATGGGACTACAAGGTCCCATGGGATTTCCCATGGAAGTATGGGAGTTTCCCACGGGATTAACCAATCGGAAGAGTGCCTACTATGGGTCTCCTTATCAACCATGATAGATCAACTGCATCTTTCAGCTGAATTCACCCTGGTTATTATTGAATTCCTCCGGTCGCAACTACCAATTCGCCATAAGGTAAGTCCTTTCTCTTTCGATTCCCCTAGCTACACACTCTACTCTTCTTCAACTATGTCTCAATTCAGCCAATTTTCTGACGCTGGGCCTTCCTCTCTCTATCAGAGTGATCCTATAGACCCCCTTACCGATATCGAATTAGATGATAGCTCTTTCATAGCAGGGAGCTCATCTTATCAACGAACTCAATATCCTACGCTATCCTCTGAGTTTACACCTCCTCTTGCTCTTCCTTCTACCCTTGAGCGGTTTGGTTCTGATCGGAAGAAGTCCTGGGTAAAATATACCGAAATGAATAAAAACGACTTTGTGATCTGGTGGTTACAGACTGAGGCTGCGACAACGACAGGATCACGTCAAAAGAAGATGCGATGGGATACAAAGCACTCCGCTGAGATCTGGCAGCATTTTGACCAAGTGGCCAACTATATCACCGGCGAGGCAATGGTTATGTGCCGAAGATGTGGAAAAACCATTCCACACCCAGGGCGAACTGCGAACGGGACTAATTCTATGAATCGCCACTTCATGGCTGGAACATGCATTCAAGCTGCAAATAATACAGCAAGGCAGAAGACACTACACCAATCAATCGAATATATGGTAATACAAACATTCCACTAGTTAACTCCAGTAAACTAATAATCTACTCTTCTAATCTAGGCCGAAAACACATCACGTTCGAAGCCATCTTTCAGTGAGGAGCAATGGAAACGATGTCAGGTCAGATTTATCACTAAATCAAACCTTCCTTTTCAAATCCTTGCGCATGAAGGCCTTGCAGACCTTATATCAATGGCTCGGCTAGCCACGTCAAACCCTACACTCCTTACCCCTCGAACTGCTCGACGTCGTCTTCGAAAGATCGTGCAAGAAGATCAGCATCGTATCCTATCAGACCTCCCACCAAATGCGAAGCTTTCAATTGCTCTTGATTGTTGGACATCTCCCTTTCAACAGGCCTTTATGGCAATTACTGGTTACTTCCTCGACCAAAACTGGAAGTACCGGGAGATCCTTCTTGGCTTTGAACCCTTACATGGAAAGCACTCCGGTGTTAATCTAAGCCAGGTTCTATTCGACTGTCTACAAGAGCATCAGATTATAGATCGGGTGCTTGCTGTTACGACTGATAACGCATCGAATAACGACACTCTAGTTGGTAGCATACAGACGTCAATGCAAGCCCTAGATCTTCCAAACCATATACCAATTGTCCGAATTCCTTGCTTAGCGCATGTTATCCAACTCAGCCTAAAGGATCTCCTCACGATGATGAAGCTCAACCCAAAGAACGATGGCATAGATCGGCAGTGGTCAGCTGAACAGGATACGTCCCTGAAACACCTTCGAAAGCGAGGTATTATCTATACTCTTGCAAAAGTAAGTCTTACCTTATATCTATCAGTTGATCTTATCTTATAGAGATCTATCTACTTATTAATATTAGGTCCGTGGCCTAGCTATAGGTGTCAACGCTAGTTCTCAGCGCCGAGAAGCGTTTTTGAACCTTCAAAGTAAAGAACCAAAGCTTCTCCCTATCCAGGATGTCAAAACGCGGTGGAATTCAACATTCCTTATGCTTCAGCGCGCTAAGCGGCTCTCAAAGGCGTATGATGAGTACTGCAGTGAGCATAACTATCCTCAGTTTAAACTAAACACGGAAGAGTGGCGGCAAGTTGACTACCTTCTTTGTATCACTCAACCCTTTCATCAGTGGACCACGGCTATCTCTAAGATCAAAGATGTTACAATCCATCAGATCTTTAGAATCTACAACAAGCTGTTTGACCATTTTGACTTTTCCATCAGCCAACTGAAGCGGAAACGGGTTCCTTGGAAGGCAACTATGCGTGGGGCGCTCGAAGCAGGCCGTCAAAAGCTCTCTGACTATTATAGCCAGACTGACGCTCATGGTAATCTCTATGCAATTGGCACTATCCTTGCGCCGCGGTACAAGCTGCAATTCTTCTCGAAGCGTGAATGGTCCGATAACAACTACCAATGGCGTAAGACCTACCGAGGCTACATGGAAAAATACCTCGAGCCCTACCAACAGCGCCAAAAGGAGACAGAGCAGTCACAGTTCAGCCGACCCTCTACCCAGCAGAAGGATGATATTGAACTGCTCTTGGATGATGATAACCCTTCCGAGCCCTCTCAGTCCCAAGAGAAACGGACTGGCCCTGTATTTGACGATGAGCTTACACATTATCTTAATAGTGGTATATTTCTTCCATTCGAATATCCGCTGATTTTTCATTCTAACGTTTCTTTAATAGGCACATTGAACAAGAATCCCTATGACTTCTGGCGGGAGCATGAGCATCAATATCCTACACTCGCAAGCATGGCACGCGATGTATTTACTATCCCTGCTAGCGGGGCTGGTGTGGAGCGTCTTTTTAACTCTGCTCGCGACGTGTGCCACTATCGACGGGGTCGTCTTAGCGAGACCGCTATACAAGACCTTATGATGTATCGCTGTATCTCCGAATTTGATCTTGATACAACAGATCTTACAGGTGAATCCGATAAGGAGGAAGAGCCTACCGCCGAAGAGAGACAGCAAGCAGCGCTACGAAGAGAGGCAAAACTAGGCCAGTTTACCCCGGTTCCAATCAGTGACAATGAAGAGGATGAGGATGAAGACGAAGATGAAGACGAAGATGAAGATGAAGCTGAAGGTGAAGATGAGAGTGAAGATAAGATATATAAGGTAAACTCCGTTCCTTTCGACGCCTATATACCATCCGCTACATCCCAACGTAGCCAGCGAGCTCTGGGAAGGAGACGAAAGAGTGTGGATTCCTATGGGGAAGAAGATAAGACTGAACCTCAACTACCCCCTTTGCCACAGGATAAGGAGGGCTATAGTCAAATGCGGACGTCTGGAAGGACAAGGAAACGTCCAAGAAATTTAGATGACTACGACGTAACATACGAATAAACTTACATTTCCTATCTTTTATTGAATCTCTATCGAGGATCTATAGAGCTATCTAGAGTAATATAGTAAGTGCAATACTTAAAAATACTAGGAAAAGCGCACAATTTATGCAAGTGGCAGGATTTTAACTGTTTGCACTGTTTACAGTCCCGTGGGAAGTCCCATACTCCCATGGGAGTCCCACGGCCCTTCTAGTCCCGCCCATGGGACTAAAGCTTAGTCCCAACTCCCGTCCATGGCGGGAAGTCCCAGGTCCCACGGTGGGAGTCCCGTGGGAGATGTCAATGTCTAAACGGGAGCGGTACTACTAATAGGAAGCTGCTTAAGAAGAACGGATACGTCGCCTAGAAGTAATACTAGAGCGCTAAGTCTCACTGGCTATAACGATAACCGCGACGAACGAAGGATAGGCGACACTAGCGCGATCGGCTACCGAATCGGTGCCGATCTCCCCACGAATAGAGATTATTTACCGACCGAAGCCCCGTCTCCTAGACCTAAAGTTATTCGGGGGAAGCACGAGCGATTAGCTAACCTAGCGAATTTCGATTAAGAATAAGCTTAGCGTAGACGGCGAAGCTATTGGTTCTCCCTAGGACTAATTTATATATATCTTCTCTAGACTAGAGAAGCTTATATAGAAGAACACCGGAACCTTTATAAAACTCCGCCGAGACACTAGCGAACTATAGGCCTTACTCGACTACCTCGAGAATATCTACGGAGACCCGAATATTAAAGCACGCGTAGCTAGGCGACTCTACTAGATTCGGTAACCGGAAGATATAAGCTTTTCTAGGTTCCTACCACGGCTAGAAAAGGAATTCGCTAATATAGACGCTCTTAATTAGCCTAATAAGGCTAAGCGATAGATTCTTCTTAGCGTACTTAATAAGATAATAACGAATTCGTTAATAAATCGGGGTATCCCCGCTACCTTTTCGGACCTAATTTCTTGGCTTCACGAGATTAGCTCCGATATAGATACCCTTAATGTCAACATGTGGATGTTGTGGGGTCACATGACGAAGGACCCACTCCCCTCTCTACATATAGATCTTCTTCTATAAAGATCTAGCAGATTGATCCTTAACGATCTCGCATATGATTGCCTACCTAAGTAAGAGACTCTCAACACTCTGATTCTGTTGATTTATCATGTGATCCTTTGCTATGTTTCTTGTGATATAAATACTGCTATGTTTCCTAGTTAAATTGAATCAAGTTTATTATCCCTTTTGATCTCTCTTCTAGATCGGTGGTACTCTTCCACAATCGTGGTACTTCTGTTAGTACGCACGACCGATAGACTTATAACCGTGTATTCAGATACCACATTGAGTATTTACCAATCCTTATGCACACTATCGTCTTGTGTGTATAATCACGACTTTATGGTCACCGCCTAGAGTCCGACACTTAATATCATAAGAACGGAACGAGCACGTAAGTCGCGTACGCCTAGACAGAACGACGACTAAATAGATTAGACGCCTACTATATCGGTAAACCGAACCGAAACCTACACGAAATACCACCGATCTAGGACTAGAGCGCCGAGGTAGGCTTAATAGGTTAGCTAGGACGTACTAGAGTAGCGACGGGCCGATAGGAAGTGCCTACGATATAGAAAGGTCGGCTACTTTATCGGGACGTATATACTACTACTAGCATAACGGCCTAGTAGTGCACGGATTACGTCCGCTTCGAGTAAGAAGGGAAAGGAGCGTATAGTTAAAGTAAAGAAATCGAAGCCTATAAGCGACTAAGATTTATTTATAATAGCCTCTAATAACGAAGATATAACTACTAAGGATAGATCAGGAAAAGAGTAGCTCCTATTCTAAGCCGCGAGTAGGAGCGAAAGGGGATCGAAAAGCTACTAGAACGTGAAATATTACCGTTTATAGTCGATGCTAGAGTGAATAGAATCTAATTTATATAAGCTCTCGTCGATAGCGGCTACCGCTATTATATAATAGTAAACGAGTCCTTAGTCTAGTTATTCGATCTCTCGCGTATTAAGATATAGCCACGAATCCTCGACGGAGTTATACCGAATTAGTACTGAATCACCTACGCTACCCACTTCGACCTTAATATCTACGGCTATTAATAAGGCCGTGTGTTCGCCTATATTATCGGACCATAAAGTGATAGTATAATACTAGGAGACCTATAGTTACACGACGTAAACGGGCGATATTTAGTAAGAAGAGGATACCTAGATATTTTTATAAAGTCTAGGGAGCGAACGAGGTACTAGAATCGTATAGATCGTACTATTAGGCCTATTAGAGTAAAGGCACTATAGGTTACCTAGGCTAAGGTATTATCTATCCGGTAACTTATATAGAGCGTATCGGACGTAAATCGTTTACGAATCGGTAAGGTTTCGCTAGACGATATAGAGAGAGCACTCCGTCCTAATGTTATGATATCCTGATATTGAGGTTATTCGCAGACTGATGCCCCAGGCCGCACGAGGCCCGGGCGTTCTGCCAAGAGGGTGCCGACCCGGCGGTCAGTCGACAGCTCCTCGGTGGCGTATCTAAAGGGCTACCCTGTCGGTAGGCCACGTTGGCTGGTTACACAACCTTTCAGCTCATGCACGCTCATACCGTGGTTACCCCTCTTCTAGTTCCCTGTTTTGTATGAGAGACTGTATATAAATTTGGGACCTTGAGGAGTAGGTTCAGACTCCTCAAGAAACAGTCTTGCCACGAATTTCACTAGGTGCTTCCAACCTTACCTGATCAACAGGTTTTCTACCCTGCAAGTAGTTATCTTTACAATTCTGTTTCTTCCTCTTTGATCACCTAAGGAAGGATGTCACCTCGAACTCGTTCGACGCCCGCCGGCGAAACAGAGCCGAATCTCCCACGGACTATCGAAGATTCGCAGACTGTTATCGAGGGAACCCCTTCTAACGAGGACGTTGACGCAGCGCTCGCGGCGATTCAGGAACGCGTTAGAAAGCTCCAAAAAATCAAGGAGCTTAACGAGCAAGCTACGAACCTCATGTCAGCCCTCGGCGAATCTATGCCGGATACCCACCGAGGACAAAGCGAATCTCCTGATTGGCACAAGGAAATCAAATTCGAAAACGTGCCAACCTTCGAACTCGAATACAACCTTCAGAAGCGGCATGAGTGGCTCCTCGACCTACAACAGATGTTCGCAGGAGCCCCAAAGAAATACTATAGCGACGAAAGAAAGATCATCGGCGCTGTATGCCATATGTGCCAAACCTATAGGCAGAGGTGGTACCGAACCTGTACCGAAAAAAGGGAGGTTGAACGCCGAAACGTCACCAATGACTGGCTCTTCTTCCAGGAGTGGACCCTAAGCCTTATCAAAAACGCGTCTAGTCTCACAATGGCTATCGCAAAGGAAAAGGAAAATATCCACCAGAGAAAGGACGAGGACCCTAGAGAGTTCCACGCCCGTCTCGATACCCTTGAGCAGTACTTTGAGAGAGCGAGTGAGAAAGAAAGGGCCCGATCCTTCTTCGTTAAACTACAACACTCCCTTCAGCTTCGAATCCAGGACCATGTACGAGAACTTCCCGAGACACGTGAGGAAGTTGTCAACACGGCAAACCATTACTGGGACCTCATGAAAACAAATTCGGACCGGGGAAACACAAACGAAACCAAGCCGAATCATCTCCGAAAGCGTAAGGCTCCTCCGGATGAACCCCAGGGACCGGAAAAGAAAACCTACAAGAACCGTCAAAACAATCGGAGACGTCAAGAGTCCTCAACGAACAACAACCTAAACCCTATCGGAAGGGATGGAAAACGCAATGTGTGCCACATCTGCGGAAGCGATACGCATTACTCTCCTGACTGCCCCGACCGAAAGGACCCTAAGGAAAAGCCAAAGGTCCAGATAGCAACAACCGCGGGAAACGACAGCGAGACGGAGTAGATCCCCATTCTTCGTCTCAAAAGCCTACCGTGGGGACCAGAACTCGTTTCTATATACCGATTACCATCCGAAACACTCTCGAAACCCATGCGGATCTTGACAGTGGAGCTGAAGTTGACCTCGTTAGCTTCGAATTCGTCAGGAAGTATAGGCTCCAGCCAGCAAAGCTTACCGAACCGATAATCCGCGCAATTAACCGACGAAACACTCCGACATATGGTGTGTGGTCAGTCCCCCTGAAGGCTACCGATTCTCGAGGGATTACCCGCCGATTCACACGCCCTTGTGTCGCTATTGATCGCGACCCCCGCCTTACTGGTAGTCCAGTACTCCTCTCAATGACGACAATACACGACGAGGATATATATCTCGCGGGCCGCCTTAGGCGATGGTGGTTCGGGAACGGATCCTTTGAAGTTTTAACACCGAAACGCTTCGCGAGGGCCGCACAAAGGCATGCGTACGTCTTCGCCGTGGTAAAAATGCCTGAGGAAATATGGCTGCCAGTCGATGGAAACGATACCGAACCTCCGTCGAAACCTTATCTACAATATCCCGAACTAGAACCCTTCCACGAATTCTTCTCCTCTGAAAACGCACAAGCACTACCCCCTTCAAGTGCACACGACCACGCCATCGACCTACTCTCCGACACCCAGGTGCCCTTTGGACCAATCTACCCACTTTCTCAGAAAGAACTTACTGAACTACGCCGTTACCTCGACGAAAACCTTAAGAATGGTCGTATCCGCGAATCAAAGAGTCCCGCCGGAGCCCCAATCCTCTTCGTTCCAAAATCGGACGGAAGTCTACGCCTTTGTGTTGACTACCGGGGACTCAACAAGGTTTCGGTGAAGAACCGGTACCCTTTACCCTTGATTTCGGAGATCCTTGACCGTCTCTCGGGTGCAAAATATTTCAGCAAGATCGATATCAAAGATGCTTACTACCGCATCCGCATAAAGGAGGGCGATGAGTGGAAGACTGCCTTCCGAACCCGATACGGCCACTACGAATACACCGTTATGCCCTTCGGCCTAACTAATGCACCCGCAACTTTCCAAAAT